GCCTCATTTCATAGGGAACCTCAATGTGGCTCTCTCCCTAATTCCAAATGAGGGCATCAACATATCGGTGCATAGCTATTATCATCCTACAAGTGTTAACAAAGCCTTCATCTAAATGGATCCCTTTCTATTAGAGTTGAAATAGTGTTTTGTACTAGGATTTGCAGCAAAATTGTACCTAACTAGGTTGACATCGTGCCTCGTGTCAAAATCCTCTGAAACTATATTTGCTTGTGATAACATTAGGCCTCATGTCGAAATCCCCAGTAAAATCGTATTTGCTTGGGTCAACATCATGTGTAATGTCAAGATCACCAACAAAGTTTCACATAGTTAGGTAGGGATCCATAGTTTTAAAAAAGAACAAAAAAAAAAAAACTTAAAAAAAATAATAAAAAATTAATAAAAAAAGAAAAACAAAACAAAACAAAAAAGAAAATAAAATGGAAATAAAATAAATGAGCAACTCACGACTAAAAAATATTTAGAACAAAATATGAAATAGATCATGTATGAAAAGAAAAAACATTTCCAATCAATACTTCATGGAAGTTAAATATGTAAGTTGGAGTACATGCATATCCATTTTGATGAAGCAGATGAGGGGCAAGAAGCAAACAAGAGTACAAGGAAAATACTGAGCGCAATTACAGCAATACAAGTAAAAAATCCCAATGTAGTCCATGTTGTTCATACCCATTTACATGCTGACATGTAAGAGGATACCTAGCATGCGTGTAGTTTGTTGATGTTCAAGTTTTTAATTATTAACTGTAAATGAAACAGCATATACTGAGATTAGATAGTGTTATATTAGAAGAATAGCACGCTTTTAATGTAAAAAAAAATTATATCTCGGTAAAATAGACTGAAATAATTAGTTATATCCTGCTAGACATGACAAGAACATAAGTTATCAAGATACATCACTTTGGCAGCTAGCTGAAATGAGAAGAGAAAGCTATGCTTAGATAGTTTTTATTTATTCGATCGCATAGATGGGGGATATAATAAAGTCCCCATTGTAACGTCAGGTCGTAAAAGAAATTATAAAAGGTTAAACGGAGGTGTTGGTGCCAACTTAGGTGAGGGGAAAGTAAAGGAGATTTGGGGAAGTTTTGTTAGGGGGTATCCGTAAACATGCAACGGAAATATCCTGTTGTATTTTTCTCTAATTTCAATCCAACCTCTCAGCAGAAAATACCTATAACAAAGAAAAAAAAACCGTATTCCACAACAAAATGTATTTAAATGGATGTTTTATCAGATGACATGTATTATATACCTAGAAAAAGAGCCGATAGAAAGAATGGGATAACTTAGAGGTAGAACAATTTACTGGTAAAAATTAGGTAAGGAGTGCAGGGCTTATAAAGGGATATGTTTTTTGGGTCCGGTGATTAATATGAACTCGCCTGAGTGACTTTATATCAAATCCATTCTTATATCAATCATTAAAAAGATTTCAAAAGAAAGAAGTTACCTTCACAATGCCATCAACTAATGTCCGTTTTTGAAAAGGATGACTTAGATGGTACTAATGCAGTGTCACCAAAGTATGCCGTGATTCCTTTCAAACTAGTTTCCATGTAGTTCTCTTCAATCTGCCCAAGAAAATAGTTAAGAGCTAAAGAAGTTTTGGTTTAACAGAACAGTTCAAAGTAGCTCACTAGACATGGTGTATTTTTCATACAGCAAACCTAGTTACTAATAGCCATCAACCATCTCAATCTCTTAGAGAAGTAAGTCATATAGTGAGACCCACATGCTGTTAAGAATTGCGACAACAAACATCATTGGCTAGAATAAAGTCATATACTTGCCACACCTTCAACGTTAATGGTGGACAAGATAGCCAAGAAAGCTCTTCCACTTGACTTAAGTCCACGTTACGGGGAAGGAACATGATAATGTTGGGAGTTATTTCCTGAGCAGCCTGAAATATCAAATACCTACAGTTACACAATCATAAGTGAACTTAATGTGACAAATCAAATATTTAGAAACTGCAAAATGTAAATGCCAATTTAGAAACTTAATATGTGAATGCATTATTCTTATTCTCCCAATATCCTGAACTTATTATGTAATGATAGATTTTCTTGGTTCTAGATGGCTTTTAATAAATTAGGATTGAAATCTATGATATTTTAGACCTTTTTTTATTATTATTTTACAAGACTCTAGGTTTACAATTTCCAAATTTTCAATGCTTAAAAGCATGGAGCTAATGGTGGTACTTCTTTAGATTTGAAGAAAGAGCAACCTAGCTTTCGTAATGCGAGTTAAATCAGGAAGAAAATTATTAGAGTTATTGACGCGGGGGCTATGGGACTGAGCTGATTCAACCTGGTTCGGCAGAAACTCCGAGGTGGGGGATGAACTGATTCAGTCCCTCCTCTCTCTTTTATTAGGCAGGAATTATTTCCCCCTTCTTTTTTTGTTTCACTCCTATACATCTATTATAAATATATATGTTTGTGGACTTAGGGTTTAGTTTTTGTACTGAGTTATCTGTTTGGACAACCGTCGGCGTCCTGTTTCCCTTTCTAAGGTTGTATC